CAAAACCCCATCTCTACTAAAAAAAAAAAGAAAAAAAAAGAAAAAAGAAATCCATCAGTCCCTCCCACACCCTTCCTATAATCACTGGAGCATTGGAGGCCCCCATCCCTGTCCACAGCCCCCTCCCTCCTCCATGCCCAAGCCCGCAGCCCCGGCTGCTCCATGCGGTGCCCCACCCACCCTTCACGGTGCCGGGAGCAGCCAGTGTGGGGGGTGCATGATGTGATTTTCTGCCCCCTTCAAACATGATCCTGGGGGAGATGCTGTGAGTGGTCTAGGCCCAGAGGGAGAAACCCCTAAGGACCTCAGAGACACTGGCTAATGCCTATGGTCCTTTGAGTCACAAGGGAGGAAGTCCTGAACTGTGGCCTGAGGCCACGTGTTCAAAACAATAGTGGCCTCCCCACCCCTGGCGAGCCCAGTATCCGAGTCTTCAGCCACTGGGCACAAGGCTAGTGATACGGCCCTGGAAGATCGGGTGCCAGATATGGCTTCCCCTGGAGCTCCACCCAGGAGGCCCCGCCAAGGAGAAGCATGGTGGGCTCTCTGCAGGGTGGGTGGCTCAGGGCCTGGGATGCTCCCAGCGTGAACATGCTCAGCTCCTTCCAAGGCCACCCAGCCCCCGCTGGCTTCCAACCTCCCTGGCTTTCGGCAAATCCCACTCCGCCAGGTCCTGAGAACAGAGGCCCTGCTGCCGGATGGAGGGAACTCAAAGGCTCTTTAGAAACCTTACAGCCCACCCAGGCCTGGACCCCGCTGCCAGATGAGGGAGGCACTTCTCTCCCCCGAGAAGTAGACTAAGGGTACAGCTTACCTCTGGGGGTTGAGGCACGGGAATTAGTTCATCCTTATCTGGATGTATTTAGGGCTCCTGGGATGTGACCGGAAAACCGAGTGGGGCGTCGTAGCTGTCCAGACTGGAAATCTGTGTCGGCCGGGGCGGGGGCGGGGGGGCGGTGGGGCAGCACCGTGGACAAGGAGTGAATACAAATTGGCAGCTACAACCGTGTCCTTATCCAGCCCCCTGTGGGCCCGGCAGGTGGAGGAGGCGGGCTCCGCTGTGAAGGAGATGGACCCGTCCTCTCAGGACCTGGTCTGGTGTGGCTACTGCATAGAGGCCGAGCCGCAGGTGCTACCAGGGCTGTTTGTTCATAGAGCCCGAGGTTCTGGGTTTATTTCTTCTTGGACAGGCCCTAGTACAGATCTCCAGTGAGGTTACCTGATTCATGTGCACAGATGGTGAGATCCGTATAACCCAGAACATTGTCCCTCTTTGCGGAGCTCAGGGCTCAGCAGGCACTCCGAGTCTTGCTCATCCTGGGAACCCGTTCTACAGACCACAGCTGGCCCCTCTGAACGTTTCCCATCATGTCAGAAAGCAGAGGGGCCAGGCACAGTAGCTCTCGCCTGTAATCCCTGCACTCTGGGAGGCCGAAGTGGGTAGTCGATTGAGCCCAGGAGTTCGAGACCAGCCTCGGCAACATAGCGGAACCCCTCAACTCGACAGTCTTTTTTTTAATTAGCCGGGTGTGGTGGCACCCACCTGTAATTCTAGCACTATGGGAAGTCAAGCAGGGAGGGCCACTTGATCCCAGGAGTTGGAGACCAGCCTGGACAATATAATGAGACCCTGTCTCTACAAAAAGTTAAAAAAGAAAAAGAAAAAAGGCTGGGTGTGGTCATACACCTGGAGTCCCAGCTACTAGGGAGACTGAGGTGGGAGAACCTCTTGAGCCCAGGAGTCCCAGGCTGCAGTGAGCTATGATCGCACCACTGCACCCAGCCAGGGTGGCAGAGCGAGACCCTGTCTGAATGAAAGAAAGAAGGCCGGGCACAGTG